GCTAGTATCATTGTGTCCTTGAAAAATATATATATATTTTAAAAAAATTGTAAAATCTTTAAAGTTGTATTTTATTAAAAAAAATAAAAAATATAATTATTTTCTTAAAATCGTATAAAATTGTATTATATTGATAATATATGAAAAAAGTCTAAAAAACTCAATGAACTTTAGTGTTTGGAATAATTAAATTTTTGGACAATTTTTTAGAACAAATAAGTTATTGGACAATTTAAAACATGTTAATAACTTCTTAATTATTTTTAAGAACTTGTTAGATCATCCTTATGACCTATACAACTGGTTATTATGGTAAAATAATGAAAAAAAAGTCAATAAACTTTCATATTTTAAACAACTAAGTCCTTAAACATTTTTAACCAAAAAAGTATTTACATTTATAAAATAAAACAAATATACCAAAAAAAAAAATACTTACATTTTAAAAAAAATTAAAGTATTTTAAAAAGTTTAAGTAGTTATTTAATAGATTTTAGATTGTCTAAAAAGCTTATTTATTTTAAGAAATTATTCAAGAAATTAATCATTTAAAATATATTATATTTTTTAAAATTTTTCCCGTAAAATAACTTAAAAAATAAAACTAATTTATTCGATCAGTTATCAGAGTTTTTACGATGGTCTCCTCTAAACCACATAAATCCTCCCTCCCAAAAGAATCGCCAACACTCCCTCGATTTTCTCTCCATCTCTGTTTCCGATTCCCAACAAATTCAGGTTCTCTCATTATCCTTTTCCTGTAAATATATACGTATATAATCTATATCAATATATACACACACCTGATTTCGATCTTTAAGCTCGTTATTCAGCTGCAAATTCCTAAACTCACCGCTGAATTCTCTGCATATCGTTCTTCCTATTGAGGTTTATTTTCACCAGGAGTTGTTTCTTGTGTTCATTTATCGATTAGGGTTTCTGCGATCGTCACGACTTTGGGAATTTTTTTTATTCTAGGTTTAAAAAAATTGGGTATTTAGTGAAGTTCGGATCTTTGTTTTGGAAGCCTGTTTCCCTTTATCATGCTTTTCCCCCTTTTTGCGACTGTCCAGAATAATTGATACAGTTTTTTCCACAAAAGATATTCCTTTCGTTTTTGTGGGAATCGAACCTTTTAAGTTAGGGTTTTTGTTGATTCCACAATTATTGAAGGTGGTGGTAGTTTGTTGTTATAATACAATCTGAATATTTGTATCGAATTTGACTGAATTATCGAATTTGATCGTGATTTAGGGTTTTCTTTGTGTTCTTAAACGGAATTCAATCTAGTTGGAAGAGATGATTGAATCAATTTCTTCAACTTCCCTTTTAGGGCATAGTTTGATTTTAAGGCATAACTTGAGAAATGTTTCTGGTAAACAAATTGTGGTTAAGCCGTGTTGTTTTCGGCGATTTCGGGCGATTAAGGCCCAAGCAATGGAGCTGGCGAAGGAATCGAATTTGTACAGAGAAAAAGAGCGATTTCCGCGGAGTTTCGATACTGATTTGGATCAAAAACCGGGGTTGTGGCCACCGAAGAACAAGGCCGATAATCCATCGTTACAGAACCCGTTGGTTCGACAAGAAAGAATGGGTTGTGGTTGGTTAGGGGCGATATTCGAGTGGGAAGGCGTATTGATCGAAGATAACCCTGATCTCGAGAAGCAATCGTGGCTTGCGCTTTCTCAAGAAGAAGGCAAATCTCCACCTCCAGCTTTCGTTCTTCGAAGAATCGAAGGTATGAAGAACGAGCAAGCGATTTCCGAAGTTTTATGTTGGTCAAGAGATCCGTCTCAGTTAAAGCGAATGTCTTCACGAAAAGAAGAGATTTACCAAGCTTTACAAGGTGGGATTTACCGATTTCGCGATGGTTCTCGGGAATTCGTGAACGTTTTAACCCGTTACAAGATTCCAATGGCGTTGGTCTCGACTCGCCCACGAAAGAATATTGAAGAAGCCATTGGTGGCATTGGGATCGAAGAAGGGGTTTTCAACGCTGTAGTGACGGCCGAAGATGTTTACAGAGGGAAACCCGATCCCGAGATGTTTGTTTACGCAGCGCAGTTATTGAAGTTCATACCCGAAAGATGTATCGTGTTCGGGAATTCGAATCTAACGGTCGAAGCGGCTCATGATGCGAAAATGAAGTGTGTGGCTGTGGCTAGCAAACATCCTGTTTATGAACTAACTGCTGCTGATTTGGTGGTAAGATGGCTTGATGAGCTTTCAGTAGTTGATTTGAAGAATCTTGCTGATATTGAATCGGGTGAATTTGGGTCAACGCCGGAGTTGGAAATGGAGGTCGAGGAAGATGATCCACGCCCACCGCCACCGGCGGCCATTGATGATGGTTTCTGGTGATTTATGAAGCTCTGTGTATAGTAGTTTATGGCTGAATCTAAAATGGCTACCCATTGTATAAATATGAAGGTAGGGAGGGGGGGAGCTGAATTTAGAAAGAAAAGAGATGGAAATGGTGATGTTGGTGGATTACCATATTTAGGATGGTGTATCATGTATGTGTCATTTATGTTACATGGGTCTGTTATATATGTATACAAAACTGTTTGTGATTCATATGGTTTCTTGTGGTTTCTGCAGTTTCATTGTGTGTGTATGCATAATATTGGGAACACCATTATTGCATGGATAAAGGTATTCCGATGTGCTACTATCACATGTGATACTAAATCAGAGACTCATGCAACCTTTGAAGTGGCTTAGGTCGTTGGCCAAGTTGTCCGCACAATGTCCCTTCACGTGTCATAAAGGTGCTCACGTTTTCGTAAAATAAAGATGATTGAGCGCCACCCCCCCTATATATATATATATATATATATATATATATANTATATATATGATTAGGTTCAAACGAGAAGTTCTAAAATTATACATGGTTACGTGTGATATGATTACATAATCATACATGATTAAATACATGTTGCATTGACCGACATATAACAGGTGACCTTTGGTCGCTTTCACCAAGTCACCTGCGTCCCTATTAGACGTGTTTAGTCATATATAATTACATGTTCGTATCACATATAATCATCTATGATTTTGAAACTTCCATGTTCAACCACCCCCCCCCCCCCCCCCCCCCCCCCTCCTTTCTCTCTCTATATATATAACATGTTCATTTAGCAACCTTAAATATTTCAAAAACACAAGAACCATTTATTTTATGATAATTCATTATTAATTATATAAATATTTTATCAAATTTAAAATATTTAAGTTTCCTAAATCAACCTTCTGTCTTTTGGGGTCATTTGTGATTGTTCTCTTTTATAGATATTTTGGTTCATGAAGCATTCATGATGTTTCTTGGACAGCATTTGTAACAAAAATATCATACATTTTATGTTGCTTGTATCTAAATATAACGTATGTAAAGTGACACATGAACTCCATATACCATTCAATACGAAATTCCATGGTAAACATACTATATAATCATATTTTTTATTTAAAATATAAAATATAAAACGGTTTGAACCGCATTTTGAATAATTCAAAACCAAAAACCAAAGCACTGTGCAATATAACATTCTAAGTCAGGTAAGATTATTGATTATTGTCATGCTCAATTGGTAAGATAAGTGATATCAGTAAATGCTTACCTAGTAAACATTTAGTAAACAGCGCTGACAAGCTGTTTTCATACAAGCAAGCAAAAGGAGACCAAAGTTTTTGATCCAAAACACCTCTTCAGAAACAGACATTGCAAGCAGAGTAAGTATGATATATTCTACTCCTTTGCCAAAAAGGAAAAAGCAACCACAAAAATGAGGTAAAATCCACAGAACATGTGCCATGGCTTCACACTGCTCTCAGTTGTATGCATTTCAGTCTCAACAAGTATTTAGTTTTTAACTTCACCTAGATATCAGCAACAAGAAAGTTCTCAGATAAGGTCACCTGCAAAAACCATCATAATGTCCCATAAAAATCACAGGCTCAAAATTCATGTTTATAGCTTAAATCTGATAACAAGGGTGAACATACCTTCTGGCCCAGTTGGAAAGGAGGAAGACCTTTGTACGGGCATGTGCTGCATCGGAATGCATCACCTAATCCACACTGCATTTCGAGTTTTTTAGTCTCAGATAAAGGGGAACTCACAATTACACTAGACATTGGCTGAGCCACATAAATATGAGTATTTCTTTTTGTAACTGTGGGTGTCACGTCAACCTGCGTGCACCTCGACTAATCCCATGGGGCCCAAAAGATAACAGCCAAGAAAATCCCTAGTACCACCAGTGGCAGACCCAAGACTTTCTTTGAGCGGGTGCACCTTTAAGATGGATCAAAGGTCCGGAAAACCGCAGTTTGGGGAAAAAGTCAACTGATTTGAGGAATAAAAAACATTTTTTTTCAAATGGAATTGACACTTGATCCTTAAGATAAATATATGTTGCCTTGAAAATGAGATAAAAAAACGACAAATTTTAAGATGAATTAACCTTGGGAAGGAAAAAATATATCATGAAAAAATTAATAAAATCAAAATGGGAGAAAAATTAACAAAAAGTTGTCTTTGGCATAGTGGTAGTAATGCATATAATTGTACTTGAAGTTGTGAGTTCAATCCTTCTAAATATTTTTTTGTTGTTTATATTTTCAGAAATAGCATTGTAGGGTCTGAGTAAACGCTCCGGACCAGCCCGGGAGCCTATAATTAAAAGACAAAAAAGCAAACTTTTACCTAAAAGATTTGAACCCTTGACCTCTTGTATATAAAGTGGTAATCCAACCATCCAACCATCCCACCCGTATTTAATTTCTGTTATAAATTTGGTTTCATAGTATTTAAGGGCACCCCTCAAAATCAAGCGGGTGCATCTTTCAAACGACTAAATATTTTTCTCTTGCAATAATCGACTTAGCTGGTGCACGGGAATCTGCTCCTAATAGGTCCGCCCCTGAGTGCCCCTAAGAAGACTCGAACCGCTGACCTATGGGGAGGAGCCCCAAGGCAATATAAGAATTATTTGTGTGTTTGTGTGGTTGTTTGTCTTAAACTTGGTTGTGAATAGAAATTTGTGTCTTGGTCCTTCCCATGGTGGGGATGACTGAAAAACATATTATGACATTTACATAATCGTTCATACAACAAGATGACTTACACTGCCACAGGCCGACTGAGGGTTTTCCAACTGGTCCATGGTGACTCCCAGCTTTTGCACTTTCTCCTCTTCTTCCGCACGTCCACAGCTGCAATTTTTGCAGGCTTTCCTTGTACTTCCAACTTCACAATCACCAACTGCAAAAACTCATCAAGGTATGCAAAATGAAATCAGAAACAACAAAAGTTCTCGCCCCTCTAACTACTAGAATCCACAACATTAAGCAAATCATCCAATCCACAAATTTACATTACATCCACATCCTCAGAAGAAGGGAAAAAAACTTGAAGTTTATGGTGTTTACCAGGTGGGAGCTCAGGTTTCTTCAAGTCCTCCTCGGATAAGAGACTGTCCTCATCAATAAGATCCATATCATTATCAATCTGGACTTTGGGTAAGCTTTTCACTGGCTTTTTAAGGGAAAAGGAAGAACCGATCTTCCAATTGGGTTTCTTACCCTTAATCTGTTGACAAGGCAGTTAAACTAATTTAAATTTCCTAAGTTATTTAAATCACAGGTCATGTTTAGCAGGAAATTCAGATAAATATTATATAGTGTGATCATAACTTCTTTATGATCTCCAAAATGGAACAATATGGCATTGCAAAAAAAGAAAATACAAGGTCCAAGCCACGAAGATGGAGTGAACTTACCCCAAAAGACTCTGGTTCTGCCATCTGTACTACCTGTATATCCGAAAACCCTAAAACCAGTAGCTTACGCTCAAGAGAAGATTTTGACTGTAAAATGGTCAAATGAGATCAGTATACTCATTCCATTATGATTGTACTTTAAGATATCAGATGCATTACCATCTCTTTGTCAACGGCAGAATTTTGATGTATAAAGATTTCTCCGCCAGGCTTCAACACTCGTGAGAATTCCACAAACAGCTGATCACTAGAAAAAACTGATGACTTACTGATGGATATGATTAAATCAGTGGACGATGTATCCACTGGCAAAGAACCTGCCACACATCAATATAACATATAAGTCGGTTAGATGGAAGTATATGCTACACAAGAATGTCCAACTGATACACATCACATATGGTCCTTGAGGGCCAGCTCAGCTGGCAAATAAAGGCTAGGTCTTGGGGCTCCTTCTCATAGGTCGTCAGTTCAAGTCTCCTCAGAGCCACTAGGGATTTCTTGGTTGTTATCTTAGGCCTATGGGATTAGCCGATGTGCACACGAGCTGGCCCGGACACCCATGGTTACCAAAAAAGAGGGTAAAGGACTTGTTAATGTCGTTTATCCTAGTAAACCCATGTGGAACATGTAACGGATTTCAGTCAACTATAATTAAATCACACCATCAAAAACAAAAGGAGACCACTGATCAGAAACCATCAGGAACACGCTATTATGTTGAATATTTTATCACAGTAGTTCACATCTGCCACAGTCACCTTTACCGCATAAAGGCCTTTGCTTTTCTAACCTGTGCTTGCAACAAAAACTTCACATGTCTCTCTAACTTTTACCAGTTTCCTTCTATCATCTTTCATCACTCTAAATGACTATAATGACGTCATTACCAGATCAAACGAATCCAATGAATCCCAAATGAAGTGGGGTCTGAGGAGGCTAAAATGTAGGCAGTCTTTCCTCCACCTCGAAGGGTAAAGAGGTGGTTTACGTGAAGACCCCCGGCTTATGAAAAAAAAGGTGCAACATGAGGACTTCCTTAGGGGTCACCCATCCAAGTACTACTAACATCACTGAACATGATAAATGGTAATCCTCATGTTTTCAGTTCCAAGTAGTAACCACATACTAGGATTATAAGATTATGATCAACATCAAACATCAACATTTCAAATGCAATAGTTAAATTGAACATAGACATACAAAGAACAATTGCTAAAAACAGAACAAGGTAGAAACTCAAGATATAAGCATATAAAATAACGGTTGTATGTTTACAGAAGAGTTAGGCAGAAAAGTACTTAGTGATGAAGCTTGAGTGATAACCAAAGGATTAATCTCTTCAATTGCCTCCGTCTTTACCACTCTTACAGCATTTAGAACATCATTAAGTGGCACCGCCACACTGTCTGTGATTGCCAATACACTACCTTGCAGCACTTTTGTATCCTACAGAATCAACAAGCAGAAGTCAAGAACCATCATACGTGCAAACCTGTTTCTATGTTTGTAGATTAGAGACAAAGGATCATGTGATAATAGGAGTCAAGGTGAGAAATGTGAGAAGGGATTTGGACCTTTGTTCACTTTTATCCCAAAAAACCCATGAATTGCGCTTTAGAAGGGAAATGATACTATATATCTCATTAGTGTTAGATGTTCTCTTCAATTAGGATTGATCGAGTGGAGATCCATTCTTACCATTCTCACCGTATCTTTCATCCTCACCGGACCCAACCCATAAATTAGAATCGTATTATTTTACAAGATAGTATCTAACCATAGGGGGATAGAGGCTGAAAGCCTAAAAGGGGAATACATTAGGCTACTATCTGTTGTCGATTGATCACTCGACTGCTAGGATAGTGATGGCGGGAGGTATCCGTGCATCAAACGACAACATCCATGGGTGTGATTAATTCAAAACAAACAACTGATAACTTGATAATTCATCACTATCCTTTAAATATCGAGGGCTTTTATTAATTTAGGCATAAACCCACACGATACATAAGGCTTTATCAAATAACAAGGAAATACACATATAAAATCAATCAACTTAAAAGAGAACTTCGAATAAATTAGGGTTTCAAGTAGAAACTCACCATTTAATCAAAACCCAGATACCTTCTGTTTCGACTGATCAATAAGAAACCAAAAAAAGGGGAATTAGGGTCTGCAAATACACAAAAAGGATACGTGTGAAAGCGAAATAGGGTTAACAAATTTGATCTGTGTAAAGTTACCACGGATTGGGCGGCGACAGAGCCGACGTCGGAGGCGGAGGCTGAGACGGCGACCTTAAACGATGGAGACTGGAGATGTTGATGGGAATGAGAGAATGAAAACCTTGGATGCGTGCACTATTCCGATTGCATGTACGTCATATGAAACATAAACGCGTAATTTAACAAGCAAGATATTTAGATAATCTACGTTTTTAGTCCCTGTGGTTTGTTAAAATTTCGATTTTTATCTATGCGATTTAGAAATTACGATTTTCGTCCTTACAGTTTGCAATTTATTGCTATTCAATTCCTACATTTGTAGGTTATTTGAGCATGACTTTTTCAATGTAGGGCTCAAGCTTTAATATTTTTCGATTTATCGAGCTCGAGCTCGAAGCACATTTACGATATCGAACTAGCGATCGGTTAACTCGTTTATTAGCTCGAGGTTAATAATTCTTATATTTTTAATGTATAATTCATGAACATGTGAGCATGTTTATGTTTGAATGGTTTGGCTCGGCTCGACTCGACTCGAAAAATATAATCGAGTTTTTCGAACGAGCGGAGTCGAACATCGATCTTATGAAGCTTCGCTCTTAAGTTAAACGAGTTTCATTTTGTGTTCAAAATCAGTTAGAGTTCGAGAAATATTAAACTCGAACTCGAGTAAGGTTAAGATTAAGGGTTCAAACTCATGGCTTAATGTCAAAATGTATTGCATAATACACTTTTGGTATAAGTAATTTGTCATTTAACATATCAAAATTAATTGAAGAAAACCATTCAAAGTCAAATATTCAATATTTTTATCAAACAATTGCTTTAATAGCGTCTAATATAAGTTGAGATAAATGGTTATTTATGACATTCAGATTGTTTATTTAATATATCAATTGAATAACAACTTATTTGTTATGCTACGGACAATTTTATCTATACAGAGAATTGTATCCATACAAGTCTTAATGGAAAACGAACTGAACAACTTCCAAGTAAATTTAATTGAATTTATGCATTTCGAGAATAATAAAAAGTAGAGAAAACTACAAATTTGGTCCCTTGTGGTTTGTTAGAAGTAACATTTATCATTCTTGAAGTTTTGAAATTACAAGATGGTCATCGTGGTGTACAAAAATGTAAAGTATTTGTTAGAAGTAACATTTCGATTTTCTTTTTTGTCTTTTAACCAGTCAAAAGTCGTAGGGACCATAATCATAAAACCGGTTTTGATAGGAAAAGATAAAAGAACGATAAACAGAAGAAAATTCCCCTTGCTTAATGAAACTATTTAATGGCCATTACAGAAAAAGGATCAATTTTAGACGTTTTTGCAACCCGTGATGATCATTTTGTAATTTTAAAATTGCATATTTGTTATTTTTGACAAACCATATGGACCAAAAATGTAGTTGATTCTAAAAGGTAATAAAATAATTTATATTAATTTTAGAAACATGTAATAAAATATAAACCCAAAGGTTAACGTAACGTATTTTATTGTACGACTCATGCTTCAAACCTTCGAACACACGTTGTTCAAACTCCAACCCGACCAACCCTTGACGGATCTCTGATAATGATTATACAATGACAATTATGTGAAAGACGATAGTTTTACCCCTTTTTTTCTTGTTTGTTGCTTAAGGTTTTGATGATAACCCTTGATGTCAAATAGCCCTTTACATTACCATATTTATACAAATTAACAAGACCAAATGGGCTAACGAGTTTCAGCCATTTATAAGTTTGTAAACGAACCAAACGTTCAGCAAACCGTTCGATTTTATGTTCGTTTAGATAAACGAACGAACATGAACAAATGTCTATTTCGTTCATTTACGTTCATTTATTTATGTTCGTTTAATATATAAATATATTTATATAAACTTTTATTTTCATATAAGAAATTTTTAAATCTTGAAACTTGGCCCATAAAGAGCCGAAGACATTTTTGGGCTAATCCAATGTGAAACTTTATTTATACTTAGTCAATTACTTTATTTATGTTAATACTAGAGGAGGGGCGAGATTGAACCAGTGACATGCCTTGTATCTGGTTAAAGTCTCCCCCTTCCTTTTAGCAATTGACCTACACATTCATTTCAGATGTTACATTTCATTTACCAAACAAGTACTGGATTAAACTTGACAAAATTTTATATCAGTTTATTTCAGATTTCAGTTCTTTTCGCATATCCTATTCATTTAACAAATACTATGCTGAACAATTGTTTTGTCATGTTATGTTATATGAATACTAAACTCATCCTTAAAAAGTAAAATTGAAATTTTTAATAAAAAATAACATCTATCTAATAAATTAAATATTTATTTAAGTGATGCTTGGCAAATAAATCACTCAAGAAAAGAAATAATATTTATTTAATAAATTAAATATTTTAATAATAAAATTAATATTGTAAAAATATCTAGAACAAATTTTTTTAAAATCAAGAATCAAAAGTCAAAATCTTCAAGATTTTTATTCAATATCTGACTATCCATTTTAAATATTACAATATAAATTATTTATTAAAATATACAATATATTTTATAAAATATTATTTTTATTTTCTATACATTTAGTTTAAAGATTCTAATTGGTAAGAAAATATAAAATAATTTTTTTTCATAAATAATTATTTTTTAGAGATTTCTTCAAATTAAAAGAATGTTTTAAAGAATATGCTAGAAACAAAAATAAGTAATTATTTTTGAAAATTTCTTTTAAATTTAAAGATTGTTTTGAAAAAAAATTAGAAACAAAAATTTCAGGGTTGTTTGTTTACCTGTTAATAGTTTTATTAAGAGACAATATCTGAAACGTTAAGAAGTAAATCTTGTTTAGTAAAAAAAATATGTCTCTTATTGGTTCTAAAAACCTCTGAATGATTTTGTATCATGGACCTCCTTTAACCATTTAGCAACTAATTTTATTGTAAACAATTACCAAACAATTACATTTCATTTTACGCTATACCATGAAAACCTTTTAATCATTCTACATCAAACCATTCAGCAACTGCCAAACAACTCCTCCGCATTTTTTTAATATTAAAGATGCTTTAATATTTAATTTTGATTTCAAAAGAATATAGAGTAAATTATGTTTTCAGTCCTCATAGTTTGCTGAAAATTTATATTTTCGTTCTTATGATTTTGAAATTACAATAATATCTATATGGTTTATAATTCATTACCTTTTTCGTTTTTATTATTTAAATTTTTTTGTTGTTTTGGTTCTTATAGTTTACAATTCATTACCTTTTTCATTTTTATGATTTAAAATTTATTTTATTTTGGTTTCTATGGTTTACAATTTATTTCTATTTTAGTCTTTAGTATTTAAAAGTAATGTTTTAGTCTCGGGGACGAAAATAGAAATGAACTACAAACTATAAAAATGAAAATCAAAGTTGTAAAACTACAAAGACGAAATATGAAAATTTTAACAAACTACAGGGACGAAAAATGTAATTTACTCAAGAATAGATTGTAGACAGGTCATAGTTTTCACGCATGCGCTTACATCCGTCAATGCCACGTGGCACCCTGGAGTCCAAGATGGCGTCTAGAAGACGATGGATGGCTTTTACCCGTAAATCTTTGCCGGGCGGATCCGGATTCTCATGGGTTGATTTAAATCCCCATTTCCCATTGGGATCAACAAAGAACCCTAATTTCTCGCCACTCACTGTCGACTGTCATAATTTGAGAGTGACTAAGCGAGAGAAGTTGCTTACAAGGATTACTAGCTTCTCCACTCTGCCTCATCTCGCCGGCTGCTGCCTTCCTCAATCAGTTCGGACTACTTTTCTACATCTTAATCTATTATATAATTATACAATTGCTTTTTCATCTCTGTTGATTTTAGGTAGTGATTTTCAGGTTTTGTTTTTTTTTTTTTCCGGATTTTTCTCAAATTTGGTGTTCGAGAATTTGTTATCACTTAAGCTGGATTGAGTACTTTGTTTACATGTCTATTTGTGTTTTTAATGGCACCGATAGAGCTCGATTGTAAATTGTTGACATGTATTGATGATCTTTGTTTCTCCCCACTCCCTTCCCCAAAAAAGATTCTAAGACCCGACCTGCGAGTGTGAAAAGAGCTGCTTTTACCTTTTAAAGGTTCTAATTGGAAAGCGAACTGTGTTGGTTCAAGCAACAAAAAGGTTGACGAGTAAATTAAATTCAAAATGAAATAATTTTTGGAATTACAGGCAAAAAAATATATTGGTCCAGTTTGATTTCATGAACTTCTTGGATGAATTTCCAAAATCCAACATGAAAAAAATGAAACATTTTTTGCATGTTTGATGTAAGTGGTTTTTGATTCAATTGTTAGACAACATGTTGGTGCATTTGGGCATTCTTTTCTCTTGGCAAATTTTGGTTTTACTTTTCTTGACATATTTTGGTGTATCTTAGATATATTCTTGAATTTCTTTTAATGCGAATAATGCTGATTCGTATAGGTCAAGATAAGATGCAATCATGAAGTTAATAAAGGTTGATTGATTGGTTATAGTCAGTGATTAATGGAAATAAAATGGTAAAGTTACATACTGTTAAAGGTAGGAGCAAAGCTCTATGGACGGCAAGTTTTTTTCATATGAATAGATGCTCATATACTATAAATGAACTTCATAGATTTACAAAGAAAAAAGTCCCATTTATAGGAAGTAAAACTATTTGTATGAAAACATGTTGAACAACTAACATTTTTGCAGATTGTTATCTTGAGCATTGTGTCACATGTTATTTTGGTTGCTTACTTGACCTTATTATGTTTGACCATGCACTCTTATTAAGCTGCTTTTTACCTTTTTTTGTTGTCAAATTTAGCATATTTGACAAGGAAGTTCAGTTTGTAACTGTAAAAGATAGGGAAAACATCTAAAATGGTCTTTTCTTTTGTTTGATTTGTTTATCCCTCACATTGCAAGCATTGTAGAAAAGGTTATGATAACAGATTCTATCATTATTAAGGACAAAAACGATGCATTGTAGAAAAGGTTATGATAACAGATTCTATCATTATTAAGGACAAAAACGGTGCATTGTACAAAAGGTTATGATAGCTGATTCTATCATTATTAAGGACAAAAACGGTGAAAGTATGGGCTGAAGGAGGAAGGGTTAATCTCATGCATTGACTGCCTATGATTATAATTTAAAAGGAGCAGAAACTGACATCATTGTGATCATAACAATTATTATTGTTGCTGTTTTCTTTAGCAATTGCAACCAATCCTCAGAGAAAGGGTTTTATGGCCTTGCTTGAGGGTAAAAAGTACAAACCACGTACATCATTTTTTTGGATGCCACGCATTGGCCTTAGACATCAGCATTTATTGTCTTATTTAAGGCTATCATTTTCATCAAGTTCTTGCTTCCATATTTTCTAGTTCACTGTTGACCTTGAAAATGAGACATTTATATATAGCGTTTGTGCTTATGTTGCTTTGACTAAGCATTACGTTGTTACTGATGATTATTGTATGTTAGGTTCTTAACTGAAGTTGGTGCTGTGCCTTCCAGGGATAAAAAATGGTATTAACATCTCAGACGACTCCATCCCATGGCATTCGTACTGAGATTTTACAATGTAAATCTGGATCTGGTGCACTTTACTGTGGACCAAATAACACCAAAGCATTTAGATACAGGACCTCTACTGTTGCCTTTCCAGGGGATTCCTCAAAGACTACCCAAAATATGCATGTACATGCCATTGGTGTAAAATCCAAACGGGGAAGTCAAGTGATTGTTGCTGCCAGTCCTCCCACAGATGATGCAGTCGTCGCTACAGAGCCACTAACAAAAGAAGATCTTGTGGGATACCTTGCTTCTGGGTGCAAGCCTAAGGAGAACTGGAGGTTCGACTTCTGAATCTCATTTATTCTTGGTTCTTGCTTGTCTTTTATGCTCAACATCATGTATGCATATATGTTACTTTTTTCGCTACAAGATCTCAGTAGATCATTATTTCGTTTAATTATTTGATCTAGAACCTGCGACCTATCACTGGTTAGTCACCTCGTTTGATTTCACTAGATATGTTAATAAGTTGGTAGACATATTCCAGATGTTCATTTGGCCATATGATCATTTATTCCATGCCCGTAACTTGAGATGTGAACCAACTAACCAGCAGAAATGAAACAAACTTACTGCGTCATACTTCTTTCATACGTCAGGCCACTTCTATGGTTTCTTTATTTAATCTTTTTCAGTTGCTTTCAAGTATACATTAATGTTGTTTTTTTCATTTGCGAACACTGTATAAATAATGATTTATAACACGTTGTGCCATCAGAAAATTTGTGAGTAAACCTGGTTCTTATATATAAAATTTATAATTTCCATTAGCATTTTCATGTTGTTTTTTTCATTTGCGAAACTGTATAAATAATGATTATATCAAACATCAAAAAACAGAATAAACTAAATCTGGGTTCATACAATTACACATAGTCCAAGAACATACAAATCAAGGGTTTTTATAATACCATGTTTAGTCCCCCAGATTACTGTAATGCCATTTTTCAGCCCCTGGGTTATGATACATGAGTTTCATCCCTGATCCTTGAAATAAATGGATTCTATCGTGAAGATAGAGGTGAAATTGATTGTCTCCAGATTTTCTCTTGTATAGATTGAAGCCAAAGAGGGCAAGATTGTAACCTTCTCTGATATGTTTTTCTGTCTTTCTTATACTATCCATCTGTATTAGTCTTCATTGTCAATGATCGATCCTACTGTATTGCTTTGACAGAATAGGAACCGAACATGAAAAGTTTGGTTTCGAGCTTAAAACATTGCATCCTATGAAGTATGAACAAATTGCTGATCTGCTCAATGCTATTTCTGAGAGATTTGATTGGGAGAAAATCATGGAAGGCGACAATATAATTGGACTTAAACAGGTATTCTGCAGATAATTGTAATTCATTTCAATGGAATGCTTTTTTGGAAGTTAAGGCCTCGTTTGGCAAAGATTTTTTTTCTTCTGTTCTCGCACTTACGTTTTCAACAAAGTTAAAACCAGACAGAATATAGTGTTTGACAACAAAAGTTTACTTTTTCGGAGAACCAAAACATATTTAGAAAATTTTGTAAATGGTAGTCAATGATTTTAAATTTGATTTGGATGTTTTCATGGGTTATAAAAATACATGCATTGACTTGTTTATGTAATGAAGTTGAACTTTTAGTCAAGTTAAACATGATATCTATTTTTGACTTCAAATTTTCATTTTTGAAAAAGGTAACACTGCTGTCAAATGCATTCTCATTATATTGTCGAATCACAATTTTGGTTTACATTACGAAACACAAGTATTTATCAAATAAGACATGCTGTTTGACTTTCAACCCGCTTTGCCCGTTTTAATTCTAAAACAATTTTTCCCCTTTTGTTTCTTTTTATCATTATAAATAATTTATGTTACTCTTTTTCAGGGAAAACAAAGTATATCTCTGGAACCTGGTGGTCAATTTGAACTTAGTGGTGCTCCTCTTGAAACTCTCCATCAAACTTGTGCAGAAGTTAATTCACACCTTTACCAGGTTTGTAGCTTGATGTTACAGGAACTTGTGCAGACAGCTCTTGCTTATTGAAATTTGAAATTTGGAATGTCTCTCCACATACAAGTTAATTGCATTCAAGGTCCTGGATTAGAACATGCAAACTTGCCTATTTATGTAGATTGGCCAGTTTCTTGAAAAAGAAATGTCATATTTTGGATTTAATTTAAATTATGTTTTTTACATGTGTGTTCATGGCAAGAGTTGGGTGCATTAGCAGTTTCATGTTACCAGTGCTAGATTCGCTGTGTAATCATTCTTCGTGTTATTATTGTTTCACCATGATCTATCAATATTACTACCTTTCCATCACATAATTTGTTTGTAACTATATCTAGCAAACTTAGATGCCACCTGCAAAAGTGCAAAGTTCCTGTACGGCTGTTTGCTACTCTAGCTTCAAAGTTTCATCATTGTTATTTTGTTGTCTGTCTGTGATATGTTGGATTTTGGAAATTTCTATGTGCATGATTATTTAATCTTTATATAGCACAGTCACATATGCTTTACTATGCCTTGAGATTGGCAGTTGCACTCATGTGGAACTTACTATACAGGTTAAAGCTGTTGCTGAAGAAATGGGAATAGGATTCATTGGAATTGGTTTCCAGCCAAAATGGGAACGAAAAGATATACCTATAATGCCCAAGGTAAAAATTTATTGTAATTCTAGATTTCATCCAACCAATTAGCAATTGCTTTCTTTAAGCAGACCGATATGCTTAAGAATTAAATCGATTAATTTACCACTATTTTGGGCACATTAGTCATCAAGTAATTTCAGTTTATGACGGAGTCTAACATTTAGTGTTCTGGTATGAATAACAGAGTTCCTTTAGCATTAATGCTAGATAAGAGTTAGAGCCCAGCTACTTTATTTATGGTTAACCAGCAATAGCTTAGTATGTATTATGGATGGTTAGGACCATATCTTCATATCCTATGTCTAAGATTCAGCTGGAGATTTTGATTTGATGTGAAGTTGAAGTAGTTCTTGACATTTTATCCTCGTATAATGGCTGTAACAACGTGAGTTGAATGCCTATCTATCCAAATTATATCATAATTGAACGGTACTGTGCAATATCTCAATGAAATGGTAAGTTTCATGCTTCTTTTACATTGAGTACTTATTATCTTTATCCATAAGCGAAAGTGTGTCTAAAGAATGGTGAAGGGTATGTTGCTCCCTTTCTAGAAAAGTCAAGGAGATATTCCAAGCTTTATGACTTATCGAGATTTCAAGCTTATATGAGCCATACAGGTTGCGGTTATAGGGCATGTATCACGTAGTGAGAAAGTCAACAATTTTTGTTTGATGTGAGGAGCAACAAAGGATGTTTTCTTGATTAAGATGACACATAAAATGATATAAGAAAATGTATTTGCATATAATGTTCGTTTATCTATAGAAGGTACATGCTCGGACATTAAGTTATTTGTGTGGGCTGTTGAGCTGAATTTAAGTTTTTATCACATTTCTGATGCATGCCTCTTAAGTTTAAGTTTCTTTGTAGCATAGACTTGCTAAACCATCTATGAAGGTAAAAATGAAGTACGCTAACATTGTATATTGGCTCAGGGAAGATATGAAATTATGCGGAATTACATGCCTAAAGTGGGTTCTCTTGGACTTGACATGATGTTCCGTACATGTACCGTTCAGGTGTGCTCTTTTTATTCAAATTACACTTTTATTTGGCAAAAAGGTGCATGGGGTTTTCTTAAAGTAATTCTTGATTTTATTTTTAAATATGAAGTTGAGTGCATGTATGTTCTTGACAGGTTAACCTGGACTTTTCGTCTGAAGCTGACATGATAAGAAAATTCCGTGCTGGTCTTGCTTTACAACCTGTGAGTATAATTCTTAACTTTCACTTGTGTAAATTTGTACCAATATCTGGATCTCATGGTTTAACATGAATCAGATTGCTACTGCACTATTTGCTAATTCACCATTTACAGAAGGAAAACCGAATGGTTATCTCAGCATGAGGAGGTTGTTTCCTGCTACTTACTAGATGTTGCTTATCATTATATCATGCTTGTGTCACTAGTATTTATTTAATACATATGGGAAGATGGTGACAATATTAAAATTCTTTTATCAGCCAAATTTGGACGGACACTGATAACAATCGTGCTGGAATGCTTCCCTTTGTCTTTGATGATTCTTTTGGGTAAGTTTGCTCTTGCTCTGATTATGTGGTCCTCTCAGGGACTGTTTTATTGGTTTTACATTAAGTTCTGTATGGATAAAGCTGTCTGTGTGGATTATTCTTGTCTGTATAGATTGGGGAAGTTTTTGTTTGGAAGGGTTTTTTAATAGAGAGAAGAAGGGTGTTTTCAGTTGGGAGGGGAATGTTTGTAAAAAACCTGGTTTTCTCCATAAAGCTCTTCCCTAGAAGCTTATTGAATAAGCCACTTTCTATATCATTAAGCCACTTCAGCTGCTAACAAACAGACCCTCAGTGTTGTATTGAGAGATTGTTTGAAAATATAGATTGTTTACAAATGGGTTATTTCTCTATATTTCTGATTAAAAGTTTTTATGGATTTTTATTTATTTTTATACTGATACTCTCTGTTTCATGGGCTCAGGTTTGAGCAATATGTTGAATATGCTCTTGATGTTCCTATGTATTTTGTCTATCGGAAGCATAAGTATATCGACTGCGCTGGATTATCCTTCAGGGTTTCACTCTATCCCTGATAATCAGTTTTAAATATGTACTTGAATTATCCATGAGAATAATTTTGGCACAATTTTTAGGACTTCCTTGCGGGAAGGCTTCCTCCGCTTCCAGGAGTGTATCCAACTTTGAATGATTGGGAGAATCACCTCACAACAATATTTCCTGAGGTACGTTACTAGCAAACATGATAAATGTGAACCCTTTTTTCCAATCCTTTTTTTAGAATCGTACTGCTATTTCTTGCTGATTCAGGTGAGACTTAAAAGATATTTGGAAATGAGGGGTGCTGATGGAGGGCCATGGAGGAGGTTATGTGCATTGCCCGCTTTTTGGGTAAGGTTCTTTTGATCATTTACATTCAATAAGCAGATGAATAATATGCATGACTTCTGCATGTTCTTTCATCATTAAAGTAGAGTTGTTCATGGGCGGGACAACCTGTTAGACCCGGCTCATCCGGCTCGCTAGAAATACGGGCTTGGACAACCATTATCGAGAAAATGGACGGGCCCGGGTTTGTTCATTAAAATTAACGGGCGGACATGGGACTCTGAATTTTGTTTGGGTTATTCTTGAGAACCCAAAAGGCTAAGGGGTTGTTTGTTTATGGAAGTCTGAATTTTGTTTTTCATTTCTTTCTCTACTTGTTGAGATCCATGTGTCACTTTAGTTGCTTAAAATTTTAATTGCAATGGTGTTTTTTCTTTATTTTTTGGTTCCACATATGTTAATTAATTGTTAGTGATCAAGTTTATAGATTTATAAGAGTTACACTTTTTAGGCCCGTGGGCAAGCCCGGCCCGTTTATAGGGCAGGCAATGTCAAGTTGTCAAGCCCAAAAAAAGGGGTTGGGTTTTCAATATTAGGCAAGTTGGACAAAAAAACAAGTTAGGCCTGACCCGGGTCCAGCCCAGGCCCGCAAATGATCACCTTTATATTAAAGTGCCTTTAAGCTACTATTTTTGTTTATTTTCTTTAAATAAAATCATCAAGGTGATCTTTTAGCTTCCATTATGGAATATAACCACCTGTTTCTTATTTCATGATTTGGATTTTGGATATTTACTATTCTACAGTTCTTTCATAGGATGTAGCATCCCTTTTTTAGAAAAAGAGTTGTATGCATGAATACAAAACTACTTTTTGTTAAATCATTTGGTATTTGGATGTATATTCTCTCGTAGTAATTTTTTTAACTGACGTGTATCTATAGATTGGTATAGGACATGCACAATTTCTCTATACACTAGCATAGAGGTCTCTTACGTAACTAATACTATTCCTTTTTTTACCTTTTTGTCTAAAAACGGTTGAATTTTTTTTTTTCAATTTTTGGGCGGAGGGAGATATTGGCATCACCTTTTCTTGGAATCTTGTTTCTTGAGGGTGAGTTTAGTATCCGAACAAGATAGGACCGGACATAACAATTGTTCAGCGTTTGGTAAGACAAAACTGGACATGATAGAACACATAAAATGACCAATTTACCCCTACGAGTTGTTTATATATTTTGATTAATTTATATAATTTACTAAATTGTAATAAAATAAATATTTTTTATAACAAAATATATCATTAGAAATTTT